TATACTATATATATATATATATATATATATATATATATATATATATATGATATAGAAATTTTAATATTTTTAAATTAATATTTCAATTTTTTTCATATATTTTTTAATTTATTTACTTTTAGATTAATAATATTAGCTGCTGCACCTGGAGAAGTTCTTCCAAAATATCCTGAACCAACTCATGTATTTAGCAAGCGAGCATGTCAATTAAGCGTTATTGTTGATAATAAAAAAGTAAGATTTTATTAGATTTATATAAAAATTAATACTATTTATTATATAATTAATAATTATATTATTGTATTATTTTTTAATAGTATTCATCAAATTGTGATTGGATAGAATCAGCACCATATAGAACGATTAGTGTTCGCGATGCGATGTCTGATTTACCTAATATTCGAAATGGATGGAATAATGAAGAAATAGCTTATAGTGATGAGCCAATATCTCATTTTCAAAGAAAAGTATTTACTTAAAATTTACTTAATATTAAATTATTTATAATTAATTATTAATATTAACGTCATCAATTTACATTAATTATTATTATCATAAATTATATATATTTTAAAATATCTTTAAATACATTTATATATTTATTTATAGATAAGACCTAAAGAACCTGATGCAATATTAAGAGACCATATTTGTAAAGATATGGCTCCATTAGTTGAAGCAAGAATAGCACATATTCCAACTGCAAGTGGATCTGATTGGCGAGATTTGCCGAATATTGCAGTCCGTTTAAGTGATGGAACATATTCAAAAAAATTGTAAATATATTTTATTTATAATTATGTAATTTATAACATATATAATTTATATTATATATGTTATATATAATTATATATAATATTATATTATGTATAATTATATATAATTAGTTAATTTAATTATATATATTTCTATTTATATAAATATTATTATAATAAATAATAATAAATTAAATTAAGTAATAATTTAAAAAATAAATGTTGTGTTGTAGAGAATATATGTATCATGATAAGAAAGTAGGTAAAAGTTCTTCTGGTGCACTTCGAGGTGTATGTAGTTGTTGCACGGGTAAAATGTGTGATCCAATTGCTAGACAATATAATACTTTAATTCCATGGTGTTTACCACACACTGGAAAACGCCATAATCATTGGGCAGGTTTATATGGCAGATTAGAATGGGATGGATTTTTTGGTACTACTATCACTAATCCTGAACCTATGGGTAAACAGGTAAATAATATGTTATCTTTTTTTTTTAATTTTTTATTCATAAATATTTAATTCTATTATCTATTTCATAGGGTCGTGTTTTACATCCGGAACAAACTAGAGTTGTGAGCGTAAGAGAATGTGCACGATCACAAGGTTTTCCAGATTCTTTTCGTTTTTATGGAAACATACTTGATAAACATCGTCAAATTGGTAATGCAGTTCCACCACCATTAGGTGCTGCTTTAGGTTTCGAGATCAGAAAGTGTTTAAAAAATGACAATATATTAAAAGTAAAAATTGAAGATTTTCACGATTGATAACAATATATTATAAGCATAAACTTTATGAAAAAAACTTTAAATATTATTTAAAATCTTAATAGTAGTTTCTAAGTTAAAATTTATCTTATCTTATATATAAGTTTACCCATATGTGTTCAGTAAAAACATAAACAAATGTTTTTACTAGTTATATGACCAAAAGCATTATGTGATGCATATTGTTATGCAATATTAGCGGTAAAGAGTGCAACGTTTATTCCAGTATATGTAATAATTTTCATAAATATATCAGTATTTTAAGTTAACTTAAGAAACTAGTTTTCAAGAAATTTGTTTAATACCTTCCATATAGAATCAAAAAAATTATTGTAAGAGTTTTGTACTATTGCATTATTGTACCGAATTGTGGCATTATTTAATCAATTTTATCAATAATTATCAATAATTAATGAGAAATTATATAATTATAGAATTAGAAAAGTTCGTAAAAAAACTAATAATAAGACTGTCAATCCTTATGATAAGTCAATAGTTTTTAAATTATGCTAAATATATTAAAGTTTTTCATGTATCAATCACTATTTCATATAAAAAATATTTGTAATTTTATTACAATATTTGTATATATTGTATCTTTTTGCAGTTATATATTAAAATTATTGTTTATTGTTTATTAATATAATTTTAAAAGAAAAGAACTAATTATAAATGAAGTTAAGTAATAAAAAATATTTATTATGAAATAAAAATTTTATAAAGAAATTATGTTTTTAATTTTTTATTTCTAGAGATTATTATATTTAAAATATATAATAATATTTAAATTTTTTATAAATAAATAAAAATAATTTAAAAATAAATATTTTACAATAAATATTAACGTATATGTAATAATAGATAATCAAGATTAATTTTACTCCCATTCACAGCTGTTCAAGTTTGTTAAGATAGGAATGGTATTTTTAAGATATATATAATTGAATAATTTAAAGAATATTCATATTGTTTTTGTTATCATGTGGGCTGATACTATTTTAATTGTATTTATTAGTATTTGTACAGCATTATTAGGAGAAGGTAATGACACTTCAAATATTATGCGTGAGTCATTTTATATTTAAGGTTATATTTTCTATTTTCATATTAATAGGTTTAACGTGGTTAATGGTTTATAGAACAGAAAAATATCAAAAATTGAAAGCTGAAATAGAAAAACAAAGTAAAAAATGTAAGTTTTAATAAAAATTATGTTAAAAAATATTAATTCTTTAAATTTAAACATTTGTGAATAAAATTAAATATAGTTTTAATATATAATATATAATTATAGTTTTAATAAATTAAATTCTTGCTTTTAATTGATTTTAGTGGAAAAAAGAAAAGAAGCACATGGAGATTCATTAGATAAACAACAGAAAAAAAAAATTGAACGAGAAGAAGAAAGATTAAAGAATAATAATAGAGATTTATCTCTTGTAAAAATGAAATCAATGTTTGCAATTGGATTTGCATTCACAGCTCTTTTAAGTATGTTTAATAGCATTTTTGATGGTAGAATTGTGGCAAGATTGCCTTTTGTTCCAATTAGTTGGATACAAGGTTTATCACATAGAAATCTTCCAGGAGATGACTATACAGAATGTTCATTTATTTTTTATATATATTATGTACTATGAGTATTAGACAGGTAAATTCTTCATATTTTGTTTTTATTTTAATTTTATTATTTCATAATGTTTTATTTTAATTTTTATTTAAATTGGTTGCAGAATATTCAAAAATGCTTGGATTTGCTCCTTCTAGGACTGCAAGTAAACAAAGTGGAAGTATTTTTGGTCCTCCACCTCAACAATTTAAATGAATTTGAGTATTATATTAAATTAAA